ATGTAAACCACATGTTTAAGTGTTCAAAGAAGTACAAACTTTTTATAGGCTTGTATAAAAACTTTGAAAAACTATGAAATCAAATTTCCACGAAAAATTGGTATTGGATCTACGAAGATAAATGAATCAACAGTATGTTGTTGTGAACTAAATTTGATCTAAACATAATGAAGGTTAAGACACATATTCTCACAGGTCAATGTTAAACCCATAGGTACTCAGAAAAGGAAATAGCAAAAAATCTGTTACTGAATAAGTTTGAGTCTAAGGATAGATTTATTTTGTTAGCATATAAAAACATAAAAACAATTTATAATTTGTGTCAATCAGGAAAAATATTTTTTCTCCTTTACAATAACCAGAATTCACTAAAAATGCCAAATTTTTATTTTCATTGATTTTTTTAAGTCATTTTGACCTATTGTGAACATCCATCTGTTTTAGAAATAAATCCCCCCCCCCCCCCCCCCATAAATAAATATAAAAGATAAAGTTCTATAAAATAGAATTCAGCTGATTGAAGAATATTTATCTTGTGAAGGTGATTTGTACAACAGCCAAGTTTTGAATAATGTTGGTCTGGTCATTTGTTTTGCCTCCATGATGAGCCATGTTCAATCAAGTCTGGGGTGTAACTTCAGATAAAATATGTTTTTATCTGATGCCAGAATTAACAGGTTAACATGCCACTAAAAACTTTACATAAACCAATTACAAACTATTAGCAATAATTACATTGTCTGTTAGGTTGAAATAATAAAATGACTGCCAAAGTGATTAAAACTGCACATGAAGTATTATATATGCCAGATCCAAGATTTTTCTGTCAAGTAAATGGCAGGAAAAATGATAAAAAAAAAAAAATTGTTGGCAGCAATTGCTAAATTTTTAAAAAGTTTATTTTAGCTGCACCACATTACTGTTCAGCTAACAGTGGCAGTGCCAGGATTTTAAAAACAGGGTGCCCCTAGCTAGGCCAGCTTGAACTGAGTGGTGTACTGAAAGGTTTTTTTTCCTAAGAAGGCGAAACAACAGTCTAAAAGCTGAGAAATGGAATAAAAAACACAAGTTTTTAACTCAGAAAATTGGGAGGGGGAGGGGGGGGTGGCGGGAGTTTCAGGCTACCTTCCTCTTCCCACTCTCATTCCTTATATTATTAACTAAATTTTTCAAAATTGCTCTGAACGTATTGGCATATTTAAAAATGATATGTTATATTGAGGCTACCTTTTTACATATAAAGTCACATTAGAACAGACGACTTTTTTGTCTAATTTTCCTTTCTTCATTTTTTTGCACTCGTTCCTCTGCACTTTGCCCTGAAAATGAAGGAGCTTTAACATTTTTGAAAAATATTTTGATATCTAAAAATACCATATTGATATTCTGTTCATGGTGGCCTTGTCTGCATTACTCAAGCAATAGATTTTAAGTTCATTGCTGTCTTTGTGCAATATTTGTATAGAGAAATTGTATACTTAATTGACAACATAAACCTTCAAATGTAATCTGCTGCTTGATTTTCTATTAGTTGATTAAATTCCCAAGCCGTAGCTTCTATTTCTTTAGTAATGCTGAAAATTGATTAAGAATTTTTTTTTAGTTTTCTTTGTTCAATTGTAACAATTGCAGCATCTTTGTGTTTTAAGCCAGTTGATGATAAGCTGTATGTGGGATAACTGTCAGTACTACAAATTTCTATGATTTCTCTTCAATGTTTCTTCGATAGCTGGAAATGAGATGCAGAGTCTTTCAAAATAAGCTGCAGGAAGCTCTTTGTTTATTTTTAGATTGGAAATGAAGGTCTTAGATCTTTGTTCCATAACTAGTTCTATCGCTTCTCCTTCATAAAGGATATCGTCAGTATTGGTGCTCTTTTGATCTGCTTGTTATTTGTAGATTTGGAAACTTTAAATAAAATCCAGCAAATTTGTTTTTGTCTGTTTAATTTCTATGATAAAAGCATCAATATTGGTGCTGTTTTGATCTGGTTGTTATTTGTAAATTTGTAAATTCCGAAAAATCAAGTATATTTCTTTTTGTGTGTTTAATTTCTGGAGTAAGTGCAAGAGGTTTCGACCAGGGGAAACTGTTTTGGTACAAAAGTTGTCTAATATGTTTAATATGACCCATAATGTGTCAAATTGTTTCCAAAAGATTAAATGTATAATGACTGCAAATAGACTTATTTATAGAATTAATAGCTGCTACAATCGAAATTACTAATGACATTTTTTCATAATAATGTTACCTAAGTAACAATGATTTCCCTGATTTTTTTTTACTTCAGTAGCTTTCAATTCTTAAAATACTTTTTTTCCATTGGAAAAACCATAGAGATCTCCAAGGTTGGAGAACATCTGCTCTAGTACCAGAGAGAAAACTTGTTTTTTTTTTCGCCCTGTCATTTTTATCCATTTAGACAATTACAATATTACAAATATGAACAAAAAAATATATAATAACACTCTGATTGACAGATTATTTAAGTTGATTGATTGTCGGGGGATCAGAAGGCTTTTACTGATAATGGGTAGAATGTCTGGTGGGATTTCTCTATAACAGATAAGAACCTTGGCTTACTTGTTACAAATCATGCCCAATAAGACCTATAACACTTCATCTATTACTAATACTAGAATTATTATGTACTTTCAACAAGATTTGTCTTACTATGTTAATGATGACTTGTTCTAAATTTTAAAATCTGTATTAGGCCATAGTTGTGTTTATTTTTGTTTAGTGTTCAACATAATAACAAACAAACGAAAATAACAATGATGATTTTGAGGTCTGAGGATATTTGTTTTGGACTGATATGTCTATTATGTCAAGCAGTGATTGATTGGTTGTTGGTGTTTAATGCCAGTTTCAGCATTATTGGCTCTATCAGGGTACTGTTTTTTTTTTATTGAAGAAGCCTGAGTGCTTGTATAGAACCATTGAACTTTCACCCGGAAAACTAGCAATCCCAGTCAATTAAGATTGCAGTCCAACTTGTGGGTTTTGAACTCAAAACTTCAGTTTTTGTCTCGCCTTGACAGAGTCAAAAAGCCAGACATAGATTATGCTGTTTCCGGCGGCAACGGCAGCGGCGTCAACAATGTATTAGTTTGTGATTAGGTCTAGTTCATAGTGAACCACTAGTGGTAGGTCAATGATATTTGGTATGCAGTTGTATTAGCATTTGCACATCTCATTACCATGGAGATTATTTGGCCTGCCCCCTCAGTCAAGGTCTATTGACTTTGAAACTTTGCTTAGTTTACATGTATTAGTTTGTGATTAGGTCAGTTTATTGGGAACCACTAGTGGTAGGTCAATGATATTTGATATGCAGTTGTATACGCATTGGCATATCTCATTTTCATGGAGAATATTTGGCCCTGCCCCCTCATTCATGGTCTATTGACTTTGAAACTTTTGCTTAGTTTTCATGTATTAGTTTGTGATTAGGTCACTTTAAGGGGAACCATTAGTGGTAGGTCAATGATAATTGGTATGCAGTTGTATAAGCATTAGCACATCTCATTTCCATGGAGAATATTTGGTTTTTAACCCTCAGTCATGGTCTATTGACTTTGTAACTTTTGCATAGTTTACATGTATTAGTTTGTGATTAGGTCAGTTTAAGATGAAACACTAATGTTAGGTCAATGATATTCGGTATGCAAATGTATTGGCATTTGCAAGTTTCATTTCCATGGAGATTATATAACCCCACCCCCTAATTATGGTTCATTGACTTTGAAACTTTTACATAGTTTACAAGTTAATGTTTGTGTTTAGGTTTGTTTAATGGGAACGACTTATGAAAAGTCAATGGTATTTGGTTTGCAGTTGTATTAGCATTGGCACATCTCATTTCCATGGAGATTGTTTAGCCCTGTACCTGCAGTCATGGTTCATTGACTTTGAATATTTGCATAACTTACATGTTAAAGTATTGCTATTTTAATTTCAACATTTGCATTATCAAAATAACAAATAGGCGAGACATATCTCTGTGTTAACAGTTTATTTAATCATGTTAAGCAGATATCACAACCTAACTTTGATACAGAATACATCAAGATAAATTTTTTTGAAAATATGGGTCCAAAGAATGCTTGATCTTAATTTTAGGTAGGGTTGACCTTGATTTCATGGTACAATATAGTATGAGTGATATGACCTTGATTACATATAGTATGAGTGATATGACCTTGATTACATATAGTATGAGTGATATGACCTTGATTACATGGTATGAGTGATATGACCTTGATTGAATGGTATATTTTATATGACCTTGATTGAATAGTACATTTTATATGACCTTGATTGAAAGGTACATTTTATATGACCTTGATTAATTGATACATTTGTTATAACCTTTATTTCATGGTATAGTTGATATGACCTTGATAACATGGTACAGTTGATATATACTTGATTTCATCATAAAGTTGATATAATCTCTATTTCATGGTTCTATTGTAATGACCTTGAATTCTGAGGATGGGTATGGAGTATCCCTGCTTAATTACTGATTGGAGTTTCAAAATAAATTTTCTGCAATTTCTGCAAAGATTTCTTTCGCTTGAAAAAGCACCATGCTCTCACTGAAACCCAACAGACATATTAGTCAATGCTATGGGTAGATACCAAATGAGCAATACAAGCTTTTGGTGCCACTAGTTATTACTGTGTTTGACCTGATTTTGCAAACAAGGGAAGTAATGCAAAAAAAATAATTTTATCTTTACTTGCCTACTAGTGAATATTTGCTCTATCAATAGATTTTGTTGCCTTTTTCCCTGGAATTTTATTCTTCATCATTTTTACAATTGACAAGCTCACCTGTCTACATATCCAGTTTCATAAATGTATGATTGTGAAAGGCAAAACAAACCAGCTGTAACAAACTATTTTTTTTTAAACTTTCCTAAAACACAACTCAGTTATTAAAATAAGATATTAAATGATCCTATTTACCATTTCATTATTTTATTTTTCAGTTAAAGGAATTGGTGGGATATCAAGCAGCAAGAATTTCAGAGATGGAATCCCATTCTTCGTAAAATCATCTGACAACAGCTTTTGAAACAGTTATTTCAACCGTTATTATAGACAGTTCAAAAATCTTTGTCTTCTAACATGTATTATCCCAGTGAAAAAGTATGTTCAAATTGTTCATTCAGTACATATGAATCTCTCTTAATCTTCATTGAGCAGCCAGGTGCTATGATGTTGATCCTTAATTATCAAAAATAGTTAATACAATAGGCTACTTATCAAGCAAAATGAAAAATGAAATGAGTTAAATTTGCTGTCTGTCCTAGTTGCAGAGGGGTGTCATATAAGGAGAGGGGAAAGTAACAAAAGGAGTAAGTTCGGTAAGGGTAATAAAAGACTTGTGAAAAAGTTAAATAGTACTATTTTTGTTGGTTTTATTTATAAGCATTGATTTTTACAACCCAAATAGGTCAAAAATAGAGATTTTTTCGAAATGTGACAAAATAGTCCAAATTTTAGCCAAATTTATGCCTAGGAAACATAGAGCACAAACATAGACAAACTAAATACTCAAGTCAGATAGGTAAAATGTCATAACAAACATTATATTAAAAAATCTACTTTGTTGATACATGAGCTCTATGTTGAAATACCTGTCCAAAAAATTAATGTAAATTTACCCATTTTCATTGAATTTTCATGGAAAATCAAAATGAGTCTTATTTGTGACGTCATGAATAAAACACAAAGTACTTAAATATTTAACAAAAAGTCATATTTCCTGTCTAGTCATTGTGTTTACTATGCTTCATTGTGATATTGGTCAATAAACCCTTATTAGAAATTTCAACCACAAATAGGGGCTTTTTTAGGGCCTTATCTAACCTACTCCTTTGTCTTATACACTTTCAACACAGGAATTTATTGCTGTGATAAAAGTTATTTTTAATTTATTTTTGTGTAAACTTGGCAGACTTTGAAAGGATGTATTTATAGAACGTTTTTGTCTGTGTAAGAATTCATAATCGCAATGTCACAAAATGGGCTTTATCAATATGTACATTTTCAGTTTTCATGACCTTGTCCAATGAATACTGTATGTTGACCTCTATTTTATTTTTCATATTTTTGACCTTGTCCATTGAATATTGTATGTTGACCTTTAAATTTTCATGGTTTTGACCTTGTCCAATGATTTATGTATGTTGACCTTGTCCAATGAATAATGTACGTTGACCTCTTATCTTTTTTCTTGTTTTTGACCTTGTCCAATGAATACAGTTTGTTGACCTCTATCTGTCTTTTTTCCATGTTTTTAGGTTGCTATGTCATTGATGTATTTCCCACATCTCTATTTTTTCATATCCCATGAGCCTCTAATGTTTTTCTGTGATCTAGGAATTGTCATTAGTTATTATCTAGTATGTTAGAATAAAACATCTCTCTGATTAATTTGTTGTAACTTCAGTTTCATTATTGCTCATGATCAATTTTGAATAAAAAAGTATTAACTATTTAACAAGGCAGAATCCAGGATAAGATTTATCTTGAATCCCATTGTTGAATTTTTCAAACTAATGGATGCATAAAATTCTTTAATATACGTCCATTTGTCATAACAAAAATACTTCACTCTTGGGGTATGAAAACTATGAAACTCTAAGAATAATTAAGAGAACTTTAATGAGAAAAACATTAGTTTTATACTCAAAGGATTTGTTTTCATTTTTTTTATATATACAAACTTTGTGTTGATAAAAAATTATAGGTGAATATTTGTTTGTTAAAATTGTTCTTATGAAAAAGATGATTGTACGTTTATTTCTCATTTTTTTTTACTGTCATAGAAATGAATTTTAGTTTTGTCCTTGAAAGTGAGGTGATGGAACATTTTAGACTTGAGTGACACAATTGTTTTACATTGTGTAGGGTACAGTTTTTATTAGCTCACCTGGCAAATAAGGCAATGTCAGCTATTAGCCATTACATAGTATCCATCATCATTTGTCATCTGAAAACTTTTCACATTTTCATTTTTTTCTTTGAAACTATATGTCCAATTTTAACCAAAGTTGGCAAGAATGATGTATGGAAGGTTTCCTACAAATGGTCCTCCAATAATTCCATTTCAATGAATCACATGACCAGGAGAGGTCATCTTTCAATCTGATTGGAAATTTTCAAAATCTGCCGTTCTTTAAAATCATCTCCTGAAACTTTTAAGACGAATTCTTTTTAATTTGTTTAAAACACATCTAACTAAAAATAAATTTGTTAGAAATGATCTTCTCTGTAGCTAATAAGCATAAAATTTGCTAGTTGAATGATTTAGCTTCTAGCTAAAATATTTATGTACTTTACCAAATATTTAAAACAAAAATTGAAATTATATTTTTTTCAGGAATATAATTTGAAAAGTTAATATATGGACAACAAGGGAATAGTCTGTTAATACATCATGCAATTGCTGAAGTTATTTGTGTAATGAATTTGAAAGTAGCGTAATATAAGGCATGCAGTAATGATTTGTTGTCGTAATTGTTTTCTATAACTGGGTGATCTCATGCAAGAGTGGTGACTCAGTGCACAGTTTTTGCAATGACAGAAAAGATGAAAATAAAAACAAAAATGATGATGTGGCTTTCCGAAAGACAAATTAATAAATCAGTTTTTGCAATTCTTTTGGTCCATTTGATATAATAATAATTTGTGGCTTTCTTGTGGTATAATAATCATGAAGACCACAACCAGTTAACCATGGCATGTCCATAATTTCATTCAACTTGTCATAGAAATATTGCTATTTATGTAAAAGTGTTATTACTTATCAGATAAAGTTGCATGTTTTGACAATTAAAACCAATACCATGTGTTGTGTATCAATTTAAAGCATTTTATGGCTGTGGACAACAATGTACTGATTTTATTTTTTACTTTGTTTTAGATTTGAAACACAGGTCTTAATTCTCATCTATCCTCTGTCACTGATGTGAACTGTTATGGATAAGAGAGACAATGTAATCATTATTTATCTTTAGTTTTCTTTGTAATGTTTTGTGATTGCTGTTAGTTTTTTCATGCTTTTTACCCCCCCCCCCCCCCTTACCAATGATTTTATTCAACCCCATTCCCCCTAGTTTCATCTTTCTTCTTTTTACATGATGTATGGCTGACTTGATTTTTTCTTATTGACAAAATAAGAGTGTGTTGTCATTTATAGTTAATTTTACAGAGTGAAGTTTACTGAAACAAGCTTTTTTGCTTATTTCAAAAGCAAACATTTTTTTTTTAAACTCTTGTTTCAATCTAATTAGACTTAGCCATATTCTATATTATTAAAGACATGTGACATATCATGCTATGCATTTGCTATTTTATATTGGAAAAAGATTTGATATTTGTCTCTTCAAAAGTTTTATTTCTTTGTTATTATACATACAAGTATTTCATTAAAGTTTTAATCAGATCCTGGAATGTGATATTTTTATTTATTTTGAAGTTTATATGAGAAATTAAGCACGTTCTCATTATTTGTTTTAACATGCATGAATATTTATAGAGCAAAAATTATGAAATGAATAGCTATAATATTTTGTAATTAATATAGCTATTCTTTGTAGATAATACTTGTTTCAACCTTAATAGCACTCGCTGTTTAATTTTCATGTTTAATTAAATTAATAACATAGCTGGCTTTTTGCCTGCTATTCTTTGAGAGTGTCTTTATGCAGTAAAACTAAGATTTATAGATTTTTATATTAATTCTTCTGATGTGAATCACTAATAAATTTTCTGCTTATTACTAAATAGATTTTATCCTCATCAAAATAGTTACAGAGTTTTAGATCTATGTTTTAAGGCTGTGCAATATTTATAATTTGTAGTTTTGGTCTTTTTTTACCTCTATAAATATAGTTTTTTTTTGTTAATCAATTTTTTTTTACAAAACATGATAGATTTGGATTTTTAAAATCTTTGAAACAGACAAACTAGATTTTTCTGACGCTTTGACATAATTTCTCAGAATAAAAACGTTAGCATATTTATTAACTTGTGATGATGGTACTCACCGAATTATTGGGAACAGTACATAACATCGTATCTTTTGTTGTCAAAGTTAAATGATTTGAAGTTGTTTGTGCTTGGAGTCAATATTGGCCTTTTGAACTTTCTTGATTCGAGCGTCACTGATGAGTCTTTTTATAGGAAAAAACGCACGTCTGGCACAAACTTTTAATCCTGGTTTCTATGATGAATTTATTGTTAACAGTATTTTAGGATTGATTCATTTTGAAAACATAAAACTACTTGTTTAATGAAGGGTAATAAAAATCATTTTTATTCTCTATCAACAACCCATTTAGGTCAAAATATTGGACTATCTTTTAGCGCTTATTGTTATAAGATTATTTTTTTTAAGGTTTTCCATGTTTTTCTTTTTAGATTATGTCATTGTGACTTTGATCAGTTTTTATTTTAGATTTTTATTTTTATTTTATTCTTACAAACACTTGCAACATTTCTTTTAACATGAAACAAACTGGGTTTATTGACGTCAATAAATCATTCTGTAATTTTGCTAGAATAAGATCATCATTGTCAATAATAAATATGACATTCTACTATTATACTGCATTGGAACTCAGATCATACTATCATAAGAGCTCAAAGGAGTATTTTCTCAATACCTTCTTACTTGTAATAAGCACCTTCCCCATAATTGTATGTTTAAGAGTTCATTTATTATGTACAAGGATCTTCTGATCTTTTTCTAAAATGGAAAGATGTGTTAATGATAGTTCCCTAATTCGCTTTAATGATAATTTGTAGATCTGCTTTAAGAATTATGGTTGATGACCTAAGGGAGCTACCATTTGATTTTTATGGGGGGGGGGGGGGGGGGGGAGCTAGGATGAAAAATTTTGTCCTGCATTTTTTTTAGTTTTAGTTGTAATCTCTGTCCTGCCTTTTTATTTTTCACTCTATTCGGTCCTGCATTTTTTTTTTATTAGTTTATCTTGACTTTTTGTACATAAACTGTCATCCAGCCTTTTTTTTTTTGGAAAAGTGTCTCATCCTGCCTTTTTTTTTTCTCAAAACTCCTGTCCCCCCCCCCCCCCCCCCCATAAGAATCAAATGGTAGCTCCCTTATCGCCATCACAAATAGTTGTAAGTAAGGATTTATGTAGTAGCATAATTACAAAGGATAGAGACTTGATTATTTAAAGAGAAACCCCCTTACCCTTTTTTTGAAACCTGTAAGTTATTAACTATGAAGCAAAGAAAAGACGGCCTGTTACAAAGGGCAGTTAACTCTTTCTTTTTTTTTAAGAAAAATAGGATAGCTAGAAGATAACAGATAAATTTAAAATAATGTACAAAACTGAGAAAAAAAATCTTGCAAAATATTGTATGAAAATGAATTAAGCCACACAAAAAAATTTTTTCCTTTAGCTTTTCATGTTACAGGTTATTATTTTTTTATCAGGTTGGCTGAATGGGGATGGTGGGTGGGTGTTGGATGGGCGGGGAAAAGTGGGCACCTAATTTGTGTAATCAACTCCTACAATATTAAACCCAGATCCCTAAAACTTTACAGGAATGTTGCATATACATGTATGTTGAAGTTGTGCACCTGTTTTTATTGATTTGTTTGAGGAACTTTTACATTTCATATTTCAAATATTTAAATATTCAGTATAAAGTATTCTCCATTGTTTAAGAAACATTCTGCTCAGTCTGAGTCTTTGATCTTTTTTTTGTTGAAATGTACTGGTTTTATTATACAATGTACTCATGAAACGTCAAATTGTTAAACCTATATGTAAGACAAAATAAAGATTTCCTGACCCTTAAAAGATCTTAAAAACAAGTACCAATACTGCACTATAATGTATCTCCTACATCTATAAAAGAAAAAAAACATAAAAGTTGGAATTCCACCCACTTGAACCATTTTTATCTTAAAATAAATCTGAAGAACAAAACATTATGTTCCTATTAATTGGTCTAATAGAAAAGAAATTTTCACTATTAATTGTAGGTAAATAGATAACAAAAATTTGAGCTATGTCATCAAATATTGGCGAAAACCTAATTACCGAAACAATTACCGCTAGAGAATGCCAGACTATTTGGTACAATATTGATAGAGAAAAAGTATATCGTTTAGTATAATCTTGGTATCTATATGTACTAATTTTTTTTCCCCCATCAGCTTTTTATATTATACCCCATTCCAGGGGCTATATTGCATTCACCCTGTCGGTCAGTTCCTCAAACAAATTGTTTTGTCACACTTTTCTCACCTAGTAATGAACAGAATGACTTCTATTTGGTCAGCAACTTGACAGTGATTAGTTATTACCTGAGATTAGTTTTTAGATCTGTTGCACACTTACTTCCTGTTTTCCCATACTGTGACTTATGAATGATGGTATTTTTCGCATAAAAATACAGGCAACTTCTTGTTTCAATTGCTTTTATACAGCATCAAATTACCACCATTTTTGTCGAGCCTGCAACTTTTGTCGCAGAAAGCTCGACATAGGGATAGCGATCTGGCGGCGGCGGCGGCTACGGCGGCGGCGGCGTTAGCTAACTTCTTAAAAGCTTTATATTTTAGAAGATGGAAGACCTGGATGCTTCATACTTTGTATATGGATGCCTCATGTTACGAAGTTTCCGTCAGTCACATGTCCAATGTCCTTGACCTCATTTTCATGGTTCAGTGACTACTTGAAAAAAAAATTCATATTTTTTGTAATGTTAAATTCTCTCTTATTATAAGTAATAGGATAACTATATTTGGTATGTGCGTACCTTGCAAGGTCCTCATGCCCGTCAGACAGTTTTCACTTGACCTCGACCTCATTTCATGGATCAGTGAACAAGGTTAAGTTTTCGTGGTCAAGTCCATATCTCAGATACTATAAGCAATAGGTCTAGTATATTCGGTGTATGGAAGGACTGTAAGGTGTACATGTCCAACTGGCAGGTGTCATCTGACCTTGACCTCATTTTCATGGTTCAGTGGTTATAGTTAAGTTTTTGTGTTTTGGTCTGTTTTTCTTATACTGTATGCAATAGGTCTACTATATTTGGTGTATGGAATGATTGTAAGGTCTACATGTCTAGCTGGCAGGTGTCATCTGACCTTGACCTCATTTTCATGGTTCAGTGGTCAAAGTTAAGTTTTTGAGTTTTGGTCTTTTTTCTAATACTGCATGCAATAGGTCAGCTATATTTGGTGTATGGAATGATTGTAAGGTGTACATGTCTAACTGGCAGGTGTCATCTTACCTTGACCTCATTTTCATGGTTCAGTGGTCAAAGTTAAGTTTTTGAGTTTTGGTCTTTTTTTCTAATACTATATGCAATAGTTCAACTATATTTGGTGTATGGAAATATTTTATGATCTATATGTCAGTCACGAAGTTTTTGTTTGACCTTGACCTCATTTTCAAGGTTCATTGCTCAGTGTTAAGTTTTTGTGTTTTGGTCTGTTTTTCTTAAACTATAAGCAATAGGTCAACTATATTTGTTGTATGGAAGAATTGTTAGCTGTACATGCCTGCCTAGCATGGTTCATCTGACCTTGACCTCATTTTCATGGTTCATTGGTCAATGTTTAGTTTACTTGGTTAATGTTAAGTTTATGTGACAGTTGTAATAAAGCTTTATATTTAGGACTATCAACATAATATCAATGATTAGTAAAGAAGGCGAGACATTTCAGCGTGTGCACTCTTGTTACATTTTTTATCAGTTTTATTTGTTATATAAAATTGTGATTTCACAATTTTATAAGATGTTTGTTACTTAGAATTATTCTTTAGATTTCTTGTATTGGAGTTTTTATCTTGTTGAAATGTCAATTCTGTTCTTGATAGATTTCTGTAATATTGTACATTATTGAATTGTGATATGAACATTTTATTTGTTTTCTTATTTATTTTGTTGACCAAATAAATCATAAACTTTAATTTTGTCTTTTTATTTTCTAAATGATGTTTGTTCAGGTGTAAAACATTGCTATCTATTAAGAGAATACCATGATCTGTAAATGAGAGAAAAACCTTGAAACACTTTAGAGTGCGTGTAAGCTAATTGCCTAAAGCAAGATTTCATATTCTCAAGGCAGTACCCCATATCCTTTCAATTCCAAAAAAACAATGAAAACCATTTTTAATAAACCCCAAATGTATGGTTTATACTCATTTCAACTTCATTTTAACTTCAAACAATTATTTTTGTTTCATGTTTAAGTGTGATTCAAATGAGTAAAAACAATAAGTTAAAGTCTTTATTGTCAATTATATCGTTGTTTGGCATTTACTATACATTTGTGTTTTTGGTTTATTACCCATGGTTTTGCAATGTACCCTCTAAAGGATATTCTTTTGTTATTTAGTGCAATGTATCCTCTAAAGGATATATACTTTTGTTATTTAGTAGTCTTACTTCTCTGAATGACCTACTTTTCAGAACACATTGATTTAATTATACTTTTTGTTCTGGCATGGTCGATCTTGTAATATTTGCTGATGAACATTCAACAACCAACCCAGGTACCTTATAATGTCTATAAACATCTAAAGATAGTGTATTTAATTGATATGTTAAAGTATGTTAAAATTCCTTCATGTAAATCAATGAAATATCTATATTATATCCTCTTACTGCTAATTTATACTTATGAGTAATTAAGAGGCTTTTAAAACTTCAACATTAAGACTACAGACAGAACTTGAACATGATCTCTTTTAATTAAAACACAGTCTGCTACAAGTACTATAGAATTGATTGCATGACTCAATAGGATTAATAGCATAGTGATTATCATTGTCCTGAAAACAGAAAAAAAATATGCATTGTGTCTTGCTTGCAATGCATGTCGCAGAATGTGATATCTCGGGATTTGAATGTCACAGAATGTGAGATCTCGGGATGTGAATGTCACAGAATGTGAGATCTCGGGATGTGAATGTCACAGAATGTGATATCTCAGGATGTGAATGTCACAGAATGTGAGATCTCGGGATTTGAATGTCACAGAATGTGAGATCTCGGGATGTGAATGTCACAGAATGTGAGATCTCGGGATGTGAATGTCACAGAATGTGATATCTCAGGATGTGAATGTCACAGAATGTGAGATCTCGGGATGTGAATATCATAGAATGTGAGATCTCGGGATGTGAATGTCACAGAATGTGAGATCTCGGGATGTGGCTCGAACCAACCTGTAACCTTAGAAGGTTTGGCAGGTGACCGTGCGACCTGACATATCATTTCAGGCAACCTACTACCTTTAAAAATGTTCAAAACCTTACTTAAAGAATTACTTAATTTTCTTAATAGTGACCTGGTGACCTTAGACATTTTTACAAGTGACCTCGCGACCTAAGGGAAGTATCCTACTGGAGCTCCAGGGATGCTAATCCAGTTATGATGGCAGTAACTTTTTATGCCCCTGCTGCAGTGGAGGGGGGCATAATAAGACATTTTAAAACAGTCACTAAAACATGAAAATAGGTCAAGGACAATGGACATACGACAGATGAAAACTTCGTAACATAAGGCGTCAGTTAACAAGGTATGACTCCAGATTTTATCGGTCAATATTAAATTTTTGTGGTGTTTGTGTTCTAAAATTATTTCAGCACAAAATAAAATCACAATAACCTAAACAGGCGAGACATTTTGTCTTTTAATTTAATTTTTTTATTTGTTTATGCTTATTGATGATCGTTATGATTGAATATAAATTAAATACAAATTTTATTATATTTACTTTAGGAATTTATTTTCCTTTTCGTGTTGAAATGCTTACACGTTAAGAAAAAATATATCGTCGCTTATAAGTTTGAATTGTTCATTATTATATTATTCCAGGGGTCTTTGACTTGGTAACGCAGAAGAAAGAAGCCAAGTAGTTAAACATAAATGAATCATACAACAAAAATGGAGAGATAATTTTTAAGATCTATATGCACATGGAAATATGACAAGAATAAATAAAAAAGGTTGATGTCTTCGTGTAAATTTTAGAGCAACTGTGGTGATATTTCATTAAGTTTTCCTTGTACTATTAAATACACTTTGCAACAATTAGATCAGTATAACCTACACTTTAAATTTCAGTAACTTTGGTTTCTTAATTTTTATATTTTATGATATTTCAAAATTACAACCCTCGAACACAGCATACTGTTACATAACACGGTTGGTAATGTCTGAGTCACTATGACCTAAATATTCTGCTTGAATGTTGTTTTAGAATTTTCTTTTACGACCGTAGCTCAGATACCCAGGTAGTCGGCTATGGATCAAATTAGCAATGATAGTTAATGCCACAGTTCTCCAATGTAGTACAAAACTATTCCACGATGTGGGTTACCGTGACCTACATTTTAAGCTAACATTAGTTTACATCGGCAATCTTTCACATTTATATATTATCTGTATATTAGACATCCATAGCAGAATATCAAATAATTGCCTACATATATCTATATATATAAGTATATATGTCTCTGATAATAATTAAAAGTACATTTGGATTTAAGTGCATGACCGGCTCATTTCAGTCCAAGTACTATTTTTGTGTAGTTCTATTATTGTGGATATAGTTGTGCAACTGGCATCAGACACCATCTTGTAATGCAGCTGAGCAAAGACGAATATTTCAGCGAAGAAAAATCACTTGATAAATCATCTATGAAACAGTAAATTCACGAAATAATGGCACACCCTATTCACATTTATCCCGATTTTAAGTTGAGAAAATCATATAATTTAAGTTAGATAACCTAGGATTGATGAATAAGTCAACTGGGCGTACCATATATTTGTTTAATTCTTCCTGATGCTTATCTTGTACAACGTACCTTGAACACGATCGTTGAAATGAATAAACTAGATGCGGGTATACGTCTCAACGAGGCAGCAACCCAAATGCACTTATACCCCAAAAACATCTAGAGATCAAAATATTCTTCAAGAATTGGTAGGGACAAGCTATAAATCGTCTGGGGGCTGTAAATAAATTTAACATAAACTATCAAAGACTTTCTAACAATACCAAATCTGCATTTTGGGTTTTTGTCCTTTCGATTATTTCAGCTATTTGACATTAATTTTGCTTTTAAATATTTCAGAAAAGACTTTTAGTGTGTAAATGATATTTCAGTTCAGTAAGTCAAATCTTCTCCGAAAATAAACATAACCTAAGTTATTTACCCTTTTCATATATCATTTCCTCCCAAGTTATCAAGCAAATACTTGTCAAGTTATGCCCCATCCGTGTGGTCAGAGGCATTATATGTCTCTGGTCTAAATCCTTGTATGTTACTGTAGCTTTTTAATCAAAGTACTGAAGTACTGAACATCGGATAACCGCAAGTTCTTGTGGATGGTCAAAATCACTTGTCGCAGAAAAAAATCACATCTCTATACCTGAAACTGAAGTTAATGTACAGAGATATATTTTTTTCTGAGACAAGTTCGTGCGTGGATGATGAATAAATGACAGGAAATTCAACCTCGCCGTAATAACTATTATATTGTAGTGATACAAATCAGTATACACTGGTTTGTTGTTATATATTAAATTAATATAACTGTTACATATATATAATGTTCATCCATTTGTATATCATTCTATTAAACTATTCTAATAATAGTGCAGTGCAAGTGCATGGTGGACACACTTCTGTAAAAATTCGATTTTTCTAAAAGATTGGATATGAGTTGCCAGTCATATTTTCCCGCAAAAACAATTACAGAGTTACCGGTCCTTGCCGGGATTGTCGCAAGACGTTCTTGAGATATTCTTCCGCATGCTTTAACACATTTCGGTACGTGTGAATAGATATTATCAATGATTTTTTACTTATATATATATATATATATATATATATCTAACGACAAAACATTTTTCATATTATTAATTTATGCAGAGACATATATACACAGAGATTGGCAACTCCGTGAAATCCCGTTAAAAAACGCGGCCCGGAATGAGATTCTCGTCGATAATTATTCTACAACATGTAGACAAGTCAGGGATGAATAACCTCGATAGCTAATCAAGAAAAGTAACAGGAAAACTTATTTCAGATCAAATAAATTCTTTTTCTAAAAAACTACTTGAAATAGTTGTATTTTTTTTAATGTATTTGATTGAGAAAATATTTTTTTCTTTTTTTCGGCATTTCTTTTAATTTAAAAAGTAAAATCTGGTAATGATCATGATATTACAAGAAACATTTCTTTGCTAAAGTTTGCTTCTAAATTACACAGTGAAATTATGTGTGTCCGATTTTCCGGTCATTATTTCCTTAGAGTTGTGACTGTGGATTCACAGGTGTGCGATTACGCAATTTATTGCCCTCCGATCACCTGAATTTTGCCGGAGGTGAAGTTCTAAGTGGATTATTACTTGGTAATTGTTTTTACAACTAAACAAATTCTGACATTATTTTAACCATGACCACAACTTTATTTTAACAGAAACACTGGGCTATACTATGAATAGGGTAAACGGACAGAAAGTCACAGTACAAAAAGTCACAGGACATAAAGTCACAAATTGGATAGGACAAAAAGTCACAAATAATTTATTGACAATTGTTTGAATATATAAGAGAAAGATCTTCAAATAATATCTTTTTTTTACATTTATTCATTTTTAAGTTCAGGAAATTGTTCATAAGCCTTGATAAATGAAAAATTATTAATTTTTAATCATGCAAATAATATATTTCTTGGCAGCATGAAGCCATTTAAGTGCCAAACCACTTTGACATTTTGTTATCATAACAATTATTTGATCATCATTGATATTTATTGAATAAATTTTAATTACAAAGTTGCTTCATATATTATAGTTCAATAAAAAATCAAAAAATTATTTTAAAAATTAGTGTTTTCTTGTTCAGAGAAAAATAATCTCAAAACAGAATTGTGACTTTTCGTCCGT